TTTTTTTTTTTTGTATGTGTGCTGTACATTAGAGAAAGGGTTGATAACCAAAATCTATAGAGAATTCAAACAAATCAAGAAAAAAAATCAAACAACTCCATTAAAAAGTGGGTAAAAGACAGGAACAGAAGCTTTTAATAGAAAATAGACTAATGACAAATAAACATATGAAAAAATGCTCAACATTTCTAATCATCAGAGAAATGCAAAGCAAAACCACAATGAGATTTCTGACTCCAGTGAGAATGAGGTTTATCAAAAAGTCCCAAAACAACAGATGCTGGTGTGGATGTGAAAAGAAAGAAACATTTATATGTTGCTGATGGGACTGCAAACTAGTATAATCTCTGTGGAAAATAATATGGAAATACCTCAAAGAACTAAAAGTAGACCTACCATTTAATCCAGCAATCCCACTATTGGGTATTTACCCAAAGGGAAAAAAGTTGTTTTATCAAAAAGACACACAAACTTGAATGTTTTTTGCAGCATGATTCACAATTATAAAGATGTAGAACCAACCCAAGTACCCACCAATACATAAATAAATTAATAAAATGTAGTATGTGTATACTATGGAATATATGGGCCATTATGAAAATTTTGAGATCGCACAAAAATTAAGAAACATAAAATCTGCATGGTTGGACACACATGAAGCTACTACCAATACCAATAAGCCAAGAAAGTTGAAACTTGCACAAATGAATCAGAAAGAATGCTGTCTACAGTTTTTCTTGGAAGTGAAATAATGGACCATGGCACAGTCTGTCTCAAAACTGTCGTAGTGATCCATGTACTACTCAGCCATTATCCAAAAAATGGTAAACTAAAACCTTTTCCAACAAATTGGATGGAACTGGAGATCATTCTTCTAAGTACAGCAAGATGAAAAAAGAAACACCACGTTAACTCACTATTAAATTGGAACTAATTGAACAACACACATGGCAGCAAAGCACAATGGAAACCAAGCAGGTGGGAGGGGAGAAGGGAATGGGTAAATTCATACCTAACAAGCACAATGCATGCTGTCTGGGTGATGGCACACTTACGACTTTGATTCAAACTTCACAAAAGCAAATCATGTAACCAAAATGAGTGCACTCTGATAACATTCTAAAAATAAAAAACACTCAAATGTCAGGAAAATGAAAATCTCTGTTTAGAGAATAGGGAAAATGAACTTAATATAAATAAATATCTCTGGAATGCAGACAAACATTTCTCAAGGTTAAATTTATAATTAGAAGTTACATAAATAAGTTTACTTAAAACTTTTGGGGCAGAAAATCATAAAGAAGATAAAACAAAAAAGGAAACAATAAGATAAAAGCAGAAATAGATTAGGACAAGGAAAACTAGCATTTGTTCTTAGGGTAAATTAACAGACACAATTATGCCAAGTTCATTCAAGAAAAACAAAACATTACAAATGAAGAAAATAAAATACACATACGTAGTTATAATTTAAATATGTATACTCAAACTTCTATGTAACTAATAAGTTAACTGAAACAAAAGAGTGAGAGATCATTTTAAGTATTTGCATCAATTATGAGAGACAGGCTCGGCACCTGTGGCTCAAGTGGCTAAGGCGCCAGCCACATACACCTAAGGTGGCGGGTTCGAATCCAGCCCAGGCCTGCCAAACAACAATGATGGCTGCAACCAAAAAATAGCCTGAGGGTGCCTGTGGTCCCAGCTACTCAGGAGGCTGAGGCAGGAGACTCACTTGAGCCCAGGAGTTGGAGGTTGCTGTGAGCTGTGATTGCCATGGCACTCTACCCATGGGGACAGCTTGAGGGTCTGTCTCAAAAAAAAAAAAATTATGAAAGACAAAGGATTATTTCATAATATATAAATTACCCATTTGAATGTAAAAGAAAATCCCAATATATAAATGATTGCAAAGTTTGAGCTGAACTTTTTAGTGTAAAATAATAAATGGGATAATATTTGACCTTTCTTATAATCAAAGACATGCAAATTACATTCTCCCAAAGGAAACATTTACACTCCTGAAGTTAACAAAAATAAATACTAAAGGTTCTTATATGTACTTACATGTAATTTCTTATGTATACTATAGAGTTAATTACCTTCTGCTATTTTTGCCCTTTCCCTGCAAGAAAAGTTAAAAACTTGCATACTTCTCCAACCTGTGATCATATTTAATTACTCACAATTTAAAGAGAGAAACAATACTTGAATTGAATGAGAAATAGTAAAAAGTTCAAAATCCAGAAAATATTCACACATTTTAATTGCTAATCTCAGTGCTAGGAATTTATTCTAAAAAAAATAATTCAACTGAGGAGAAAAGTTATAGGCCAAAGTTTTTCTTATAAACAAGACTGTAAACTGTCTACATCCACATAAATGTTTGGTACATCAGCTCAGTGGTACATCTGCTGTGTACGCATGAGTACAGAACTGTGATTATTATTCATAATAAAATGGTAGCTGAAAGGGGCAGAAGATAAAATACCTGCACATATGATTTGAACCAAGTAAAATACAAATGCCTTTTAAAAAACAAAACAGGAAGAAAAAATTTAAAAATCGGTGTACTTGCTATGTTAAGATTTTAGAGTTCTAATTTTTAAGATCATGTTTCCTTAAAGACAAAATTAACTCATATGAATTTAGAATAAATATTTTGCTTTATAATTTACATGTAATAAATGTAAAATGATTGAATTATAAAGAGCATTCTGCTTTCTTCTACAGATTGTAGTGGAGGAGTTCCTAGAAGATATAAATAACATCCTCAATTCAGGTGAAGTGCCTAATTTATTTGAAAAGGATGAACTGGAGCAGGTTTTGGCAGCCACCAGACCAAAAGCAAAAGAAGCAGGAATTTCAGAGGGGAATAGAGATGAGGTAGGACACAGTTATATGGCTTTGTAAACAAAAAGTTGACTTAGCCTTTTATTTAACAGTCCACCTATCCCCTTAAGAGGTCCATGGATAGAATTTTTTTAATATAATTGGTTTGCTTTGTAATTTGGTTCATCAAACTTCCAAAAAGGCCCAGGGGAAGCAGAAAACAGAAACTCTACGATCCCATGGAGGTCATAGTCGTATCCAGACCAACCAGCCTCTGTTATTATTCTTTAAGCACCAGTTTTTTTTCACATACTACAGTCCTACCTGAGGAGAGCTGAAGGCATGAGTCTAGTGCTTTGGATGCCCTTGCCAAGCATCAAGGTTACTACATAAATAAAACAGAAATGGGTTTTCTCTCCCTCTCTCAGAAACAATGTAGCTGCAGTCCACTTCCATTTCCCCAACACTGTGCTAGATTCCACATGCTGATATTTTTCTGCATCTTCTTTAACTTCTTGGCTGTACTTTCTCAATCTTTTCTGGGTCCCTTTGTGAGAATTTCTTCTACTGCTAAGTCAGGGATTATAGGAACAGGCTCAAGTCTGCTTCGGCTAATGTAAGCAGAAAGGGATTTATGAGAGGAATACAGAATCATTAGGAGGATCAAATAAAGATATTCTGAACTGAATTTTGAAACAAATATAAAATGCACACTGTAGACGTCAATGGTCAAAGAAGCAGCTGCCTCTGCCACAACCATTCCAGCTGCACCAAGGAGCCACTACCCAGCCAGCATGCCTCTGCTCTGGCTGCCAGCTCCAAAGCCATGTGTCCTCCACCACATCAGGAGGTAACTGGAATCAGCAGCCACGTTTAGAGACAGGAGCTCCAAGATCATGCCGCTCTTCTGTCCTGCACCTGCAAAAACTGCTGCCTAGCTCCCTTCCTTTCTCTCTGCTGTCCTCTGTCCCAGAGCAAAACGTTATATGAATATCTCTCTCCATTTCATCCAAGGGGTCTCCTCAGACACACTGATGATGAGCATCTAAATCACATTCAGAACTCTAGTTGCAATGGAGGCTGCCAAATGTCATTTTTTACTCTTTTCAGGCTGTGTGAGTGAAAAAAAAGGATTGGAATGAATGTTGAGCAAGGCTATTCCTATATTTTCTCTACTAACATTTTTTATTTGATGTTGGTAGCTTCACATGCATTAGCCAACACTTACTTTTATTCTTGCTTTATCTGTATTTTAAGTTGAAAAATATCTTTTTGTCAGGTGTTTCAGTACTTTATCAGTAGAGTTCGTCAGAAGCTGCACATTGTTCTCTGCATGAGCCCGGTAGGGGAGGCCTTTCGGTCCCGATGCCGAATGTTTCCATCTCTTGTAAACTGCTGCACCATTGACTGGTTTGTCCAGGTTAGTGATGTCTCAGGATATCTCTTTCAGAAGACTCTCTTGATTTTAAAGGAGTAATGCATTGTCTGAAAATGGCACATGGCTACTTGCATTAACGTTAAAGCCTGCTAGGCATTTATTCACATATGGATGACAATGACAATCACAGAACAGTGACAAAACAGAATATATAAAGGAAGAGGAGATCCTTGAATTTAGCAATGTAGAAGTTATCAGTGATCATGACAAGAGCTGTTTCAATGGGTTGTGAGGAAGAGGGTTCAGGAAAGAAGAGAAAAGAGGAATCAGAGACAATGAGCCCAGGCAACTCTTTCAAGGAGTTTTATCCTAAACAAAAGCAGAGAGATGGGGTCATCATAGTTACAGGGGCAGATGAGGTCAAGAGAGAAATATTTTTAAATGAGAGACACAAGTAACTGTGTGTGTGTGTGTGTGTGTGTGTGTGTGCATGCTGATGAAAATGATCCAGAAAAGAGGAGTATACTGATGATGCAGCATACAAAAGTAAGGATATCCCTGAGTAAGCAAAAAGGGGCAGGATGGAGTCATCAGTGAAGGGACTGACCTTGGCAGGGAGCATGCACAGCTTACCCAAATAGCAGGAGTGGAGGCAGGATATATAAGCAAAGATGCAGGTAGCTGGAGAGACATGAGCTTACGAGCTCATCAAAGTTCTATTTGCATTTCTTCTCATTTTTCTAATGATGTGAGAAGCAAAATCATAAGCTGAGAGTGAAGAAGAAAAAGAAGGTGTCAGCAGTCTGAGGAAGTAGAATATGGTGTGAAATGCTCACTTAGAAGAGTAGAAAACTGACGTATTAGAAAATTAAGAAGCATTTCTGGGCTGCACTAAGGACCTGGTTGTCACGAATGTAAAGTCAGGGCAGTCAGCATGGTTGTGTGTTTCTCTCCAACCAGGCTCAGCTGCACAGTTGCAGGCTTGGAGTAACAGTTGCTTTTGACTAAGATTCAGGTGACCTTAAAGAAACAAGAGAGGAACAAATGGGCTGAGATGTGTACAGAACAGCGTGTATAACCATGGATCTGAAGTCCCAATAAACAGAATCAGGACATGAGGACCCCATAACGTGCATGATCCTATTTATAGAATTCTAAAAACATTCAATCATTCCACCAACAATCATTTATTGAACAACTCCTATGTGCCTGACACTGTTAGAGACACCTTGGTCAGCAAACACAGACCCAAGACAACTCAAATGGACAGAGCATTTGATTTAATTAAGACCATAGGCATGCATAAGATTAACTAGGCAAAAGTGCAGACTGGCAAGGAAGAATTCCGGGGAAATACATTTTTTTTTTCTTTACAGTGGCCCAGAGAAGCACTTCTTTCTGTGTCAAAGACATTTTTCTCAACTGTCGATGCTGGAAGTGAAGAACTGAAAGACAAGCTTTCCCTCATGTGCGTGAACGTTCACCTGAGCGTCTCCACCATGGCGGAGCGCTACTACACAGAGCTGCGCAGGCGGTACTACACCACGCCCACCTCCTACTTGGAGCTCATCCACCTCTACCTGTCTATGCTCTCTGAAAAAAGAAAGCAAATTATTTCAGTGAGTTCAATACTGTCAGTGGAAATAGTTGGGGTTTTTTTGGGGGGTGGGGGTTGTTTGCTCAAACTCAAACTTTTGAGAATGAGTGAAAGATCTACCATCTTACCTGCCAGATTCTTCTGCATCCTGACACACGTCATGGACAATCTGCAATAGGACCCAAAAAGGGTCTCATGCTGTCAGTCAAGGGCTTTCCCTTCCTTGATAATTGTATTTTCCTTTATCACTTACATAAGTATACTGATAGTACTGTTGGACAGGGCAGTGGCCCCAGCTCAAGCCACACCAGCAGGCCCAGGAGGACCTACCTCGCCGTCTGCGTTGCCACCCCTGGGGTGTTGGTGCGGTAGGATGCAGGGAGGAGAGGCCTGGAGAACCAAGTGTGGCAGAAAGGGCCAGTGCTGTGGAAGCCTGCAGGTCCCTAGTTAGTTGAGGGAGACCACTGCACAGCCCATGCTGCTGCCTGTGCCAACTCCAGAACCACCCTTGCAACTAGAGATCCCTCCTCTGGCTGCTATGCCCCTGTGAGCATTTTATAAGCCTAAAGGTGGTAGAGCGTTCCCCCATTCAGGGATGAACAGGGACCCCCCACCCCCATTTCTCAGGCCTAGACAATTTTATGTAAGTTTCCTAGGCCTGGGCAACTTCATTAAGGGAATGGCTCATTCACTTTGCCTAAGTAGAAGGGACTATATCCATTCATTTGTTACCAAGGCCTTGGCAAATACAACTACATGAATTATATCTAGACAAAGGACCCAGGGGGAGAATTTCCAACTTGGGTCATTCCCTCTGCCAGGAAGGAATGCTTTTCCTATATTCTTTTCTGTGTAATAAATCCTATCTTACCACTGATCTATGGTCCCTTGGTTCATTCTTCAAATCCCCAAAACCAAGGACCTACTGAAGAAAGAAATTCCAGTAACAGTAAAGTGATATGGTCATCACAACAGCGTCAAAGTTAGAGAACTAGTGGGTTATCTCACTCTTACTGAATACAGAAGAAAACTTGTTGTTAAGCAGTGAAGATGGCATTTTAGTAACCTACCTTGTGTCAATGTTCCAATTATCAACATTAGGACTTTGGTTCTGATTAAGGACTTTTGTGTCAGCCAAAAATTATGTATACCCTATGTTCTGCCTCTTACTACTCAACTTTGAGCTCATTAAGTAACTTCATTAAGCCACAATAGAAAATAAAGTTCAACAATATCCATATCTACCTCTTGGATTGTTGTGGAATTTAAACAAGACACGTCTATGAAACACTTGGACCGATATGACTAATAAGGGTGCTCAGAAAATAGTGGCTACCTTCATCATCATCAGGCTATTAACATAACCTAAATTTTCAGCATTTTAAACACACTAAAGAAAGGCACATTACAATTTATATATTTAAATCTTTTCAGCATATTTATACCTGGCAAAATGCCTGCCTTATAAGATAACTTGACAGGTATTTTTGAAACCTGTCAATTTGAACGGCAATTTCTGATTCACCTTTTAAAAACAAAAAACAAAAAAAAAGTGCTTCCCAGTTGTCTTTTGGTACCAAATACCGCCCCCTTTTGATCCTACTTATAACATTTTCTACTACCAGAGCAAGGCATCTCCCTAGGGGTCCTCAGACCTGCTGACATGAACAAACAAGTTCGTAAGCTGTGGTCTCCAGGAATTCCTACTTAATCTTGTCCCTCACCCACTCAACATGCTACCTTAGGGAATAAAAATAATACAATGCAGTCCTGGTCCTCAGTGAGCCACAGCCCAATGACATTCTGCTGCTGTGGCCAGAGGGCATGGATCCAAAGGCATAATGGTGAATGTCATGGCCATTTCCTAGAGTTCTATTACCTGAAGATTTCCCAATTGTAATACATTCACAATTTGAAATATTGCAAAAAGATTTACCAATTCTATAGATGTAAAAGCTTAATACATGAGTAAGAGTAATAGCTAATAAAACTATAGTCAATAATATTCATTGTAATAGAAATTTTCATTGTCATTTAGGCAAGAGATCGGGTGAAGAATGGTCTCACCAAGCTACTAGAAACAAATGTACTAGTAGATAAAATGAAATTAGATCTTTCAGCTTTAGAGCCTGTGCTTTTACAAAAATCACAAGATGTCGAAGCCCTGATGGAAAAATTGGCAGTGGATCAAGAAAGTGCCGATCAGGTACCCTGTATTATCTGACAGTGTGGGTGAGATGGCTTAGGTCAACAACTGATCTCTCATATACACTGATATAAGACTGGTTTATTATATGTGTCATTAAAATATTAAGTAATAGATTTAGAATGCTTTTTTAAAAACAACTTAGCATTGTTTTTAAGTCATAAACAAGCTCTCTTTACTAAGTCAACCTGGTTCTGTCCTCTAGAATTGATACATTCCAATGAGTGGGACAGAGAGAGTTGTGAGAAAAGTACTACTTACAAATATAAAGCAGCTATTTCTCTTCTAAGAAGGAGCTATTATAGTATTTTATCTTCATTGTGCTATCAACATGGCAGGAAATGGATAAAGGAGAGCATAGAATGCAATCTAGCTAATTCCCTTTCATCCTTGGTCTAATCCAAAGAGTAAATATGATTCATTATTATTGGCTTTGTTTTTAAATGTAGAAATGTAAATAATGAGGTCATTTAAGCAGTCGTGTTTCAATGGTTAGGTCCGTAGTGTTGTGCAAGAAGATGAAGCAACAGCAAAAGTGAAAGCTGAAGAAACCCAAGCAATAGCTGATGACGCTCAACGAGATCTTGAGGAAGCATTACCGGCTCTCGATGCTGCCAATAAAGCACTGGATTCCTTAGATAAAGCAGATATATCTGAAATCAGAGTTTTCACAAAGCCCCCAGATATGGTCATGACTGTAATGGAAGCGATCTCCATTCTCTTGAATGCAAAGTGAGTAATTTAGGATCATGTATTACCAGAATATCTGGTGGAATTTCTTTACCATTTCTCTCCATTTCCATTTTTATGTTCATTCTCTTCTCCACCCTCTCACTGATTCAGTTTGTCACTCAGCAAGTTGATTCAAGGAGTCTTTTTTACCCCATTTATTTTGTGCTAGATGATGGAGGATACATTTTTCCCTTCAAGATACATATAGGTCAGTGGGGAGACAGACATGAAAAATAATAATTCCAACACCATGTCTGAGTTCTAAAGTATTGAAAGTGCTGAGAATAAGTGACTAAGTTCTTCTGGGGAGATGCGAGCAGGTTTTCAGAAGACAACACTAGTCGAAAAGTGGGACCGTGGGAGAATGAGGAATGAACTTTGATGCTCGTGGAATGGGTAGGGGCCAGGCAAGAAGGCGGTCATTACGTCATGAAAGGTCTTATAAGCTCTGCTAAAAGTTCGGATTAATCTTAGAGATATGTAGTTTTTACCGTTTCTTTGGCAATGCAACCCATTTTTCAATAAAAGAAAAATTAAGTTACAATAAAAGGGCTCAGAGCAGCCCATTATGACCAGACCTCTCCACTAACCCTCAAGCTGGCACCTCAGTAGGGTCCAGAGAGCTCTAAGAGCCCAAATAGGGAGCTCTGGGCAGAGGGGACTAAGAACCATTGAACATTTTTTACCTAATCAGATTTTCATGGCAATAAGACCAATCTAGCAAAAGCTCAGAAAGGCAAGATTGATCAAAAGACATAAAAAACAATTAGATGGCAATTGTAGTGACCTGCCAAGAGATTTTAAGGGTTGAAACTAGCAAAAGAGGGAAAATGTGAGTGCCTAAGACCTTTTTAAAGTACATCTGTTGTTTCTATAATTCCTTAAAATTTTAAAACTCTATGATTTTATAATCTTTCTCTAACAAAACTGGGTTGCATGAAACTTCAGTAATCCAAATACTTTTCTCTCCCCATGAATTAATTGTGGCACATATAACTACCAACTAGTGGGACCATAGTAGCAAAATAAAACTACCCACTTATTGGGATAATATTGCAATGTTTTCAAAGAAAGACATTTCTTTTGTTCTTACATTACTTTATTACAATGCTATTAACTTATCGTGTTTGTCTTTCAGGCCTGATTGGCCAACAGCAAAGCAACTTCTTGGTGACTCTAACTTTCTAAGAAGACTTTTAGAATATGATAAGGAAAACATAAAACCTCAGATATTGGCAAAGCTCCAAAAGTATATCAATAATCCCGATTTTGTGCCTGAAAAAGTAGAGAAAGTGTCCAAAGCATGCAAATCCATGTGCATGTGGGTAAGAGCAATGGACTTATACTCACGGGTAGTCAAGGAAGTTGAACCAAAGAGACAAAAACTCCGTGCTGCACAGGTATACTATCTATGTTATGACACAGTATTTTATTGAATTGGGACTTAGTCACCAGTCATTCAAGCTGCCTATATAATGATGCTGTGATTCTATAATACACGTTATAACAAAGCTAATGTTTTTATTTTAAACAATAGCCAAAAAAAATTTTTTCAGAAAGTACTTCTAACATAACCCTTCTTCCAACATAAAAGGAACATGAAGATCCACTATATTCACCTGAAAAAAGAGAATTGGGTCTGTGATATTTTTGAAATGCCTTTTAGCTCAAGCAGCTAATGGTCTATGTTTCCATTTGCTAAATACTCCCAAGCTTGATGTCATCTGCGGTTATAGAACCAGCTCAACCCACAATCAGATGTGAGGTCCTTAGCCTTTCCTAAGGTTGATTGTTTAGTGGAGTGGGTTTCTGAAAGAGCCATGGCTACAAAGCAGCAGTCAGCAAACTTTTTCTTTAAAGATTCGGACAGTAAATATTGTAAGCATTGTGGTCTCTTTTGTAAGTACTCAACTCTGTCACTGCAGCACACAAACCGTCATTGACAGTACATAAATGAGTAGGAATAGCTGTGTTCCAGTATAACTTTATTTATGAACACTGGAACTAAAATTTCATACAATTATAACATCACATCACAAAATATTACTCGTTTTTATTTTTTGCAACCACATAAAAAGGTGAAAACCATTCTTAGCTTACAGATTGTACAAAAACAGGCAGCAGGCTAGATTTGGCCTGCAGGCCATAGTTTGTGGACCCATGATATTGACAACTAGTTAGGAAAAAATTTTCACTATTGCATGAATATTTAAATGTTTCATCATTTTAAATGAATAATCCATTGTGGTAACTAATTCATCCTAAATACTTGCTACATCTGTTTCTTTTTTATGATCTATTTTATGGACTTTATGGTTGATTTGGGGTTTTTCTTGTTTATTTCTTATGTTTTTCTCTATTTTATATTTGTTTTAACTTGGTATATCACATCAAAGTCTTTTTGGACATGAAAAAGGGAACATAAAATAAATCACATGTACTTAAAAAAATCTTTATTAAAAATGCACAAATTCAGCTTTCCTTTGGGGCTTATTCTTAAATAGTTGCTTGGTTTTATTAGGCTGAACTTGACGTTACTATGGCTACCTTGAAAGAAAAGCAAGCATTGCTAAGACAAGTGGAAAATCAAATACAGGCCTTACAAGATGAATATGACAGAGGTGTGAATGAAAAAGAAAGTCTGGGTAAGTAACCCAAAAAACTTACATTAGTGAAGAAATGTCTGATTTTCAAAATTGGAAAGAACTTCCAGGCAGTCAGATCTCAGCGTTTATCCAATGTGTAGGACTTATTCCATTAGATTTATTTTGTTAGCCTCTAATATCAAATGAGAAGAACTACATGTATTGTCTGTGTGTACATTCAACATCTTGTATCTGAACAAGGCTTACTGCATGTTACGCTAAAATATGAACCAGCATATAAATTTGATCCCAAAAGTAAATACTGTAGCAGCACAGAGAGCACTATCCTTGGGTATCAAAAAGGAGCTATTGGCAAGCTAAAAGGCAAACTTAGACTGAAGAATTCAGTCTGAATTTTGAAACAGGAATTAATGCTGAATTGGTGTGAGTTTTCATAGAGATGTATTCCTATCATTAGCTAAATAATGCCAACCTGCTATAAATTTAAGCAGGTAAATAAACTTTCAATATTTTAGAAAAACATTGAACAACATAACCTGATTTAATTTGCCAGCAAAGAATATGACCCTGACAAAGGCACGCCTAGTCCGAGCTGGAAAGCTGACAGCTGCGTTAGGAGATGAGCAGGTTCGATGGGAAGAAAGCATACGCAAGTTCGAGGAGGAGATATCGAACATCACCGGGAATGTGTTCATAGCAGCGGCCTGTGTGGCCTATTATGGAGCTTTCACGGCCCAGTACAGGCAAACTGTGAGTAAACCTGCTTTCTGTAAGGAGTGCGAGGAAGGCACTGAGACTGAGGTTGCAAGTGTGTCACTTTTCCAAGTTCAGATGGAGGCTCTCCACTGTGGAGGCGCTCCATGGTACAGTTTATTCTACATTCCACAGCCGCCCACTTCCCGCACCAGCCGGTGATGTTCTACCCTTAGGCTTTCCTCAACACATTCCTCCTTTTCCTTCCCTGCCCCAGAAAGCTACTCAGCACTTACTTACGCTGCATAGGAACCTGGAGGATGGAACGGGGGTAGAGTCCCCCACCCTTATGATCACAAGTGGCATGTAAAGTCAGCCAGGATGAAATACTCTGAATTGGTGAGACTGCTACAGAGGGCCAGACAATGAAAAGGAGCAGGACATGGGAGCATCTGTGGTTCCTCTGCTTTTATCTTTAGGAGAAATAAAACTCATTTATCAGAGAGTAAAAGTTTCTTTTACATACATTTTCCAGGAAACTAAGTTATTTGGAAGGATTTTTATGAAATGCCTTCCTAAAAATGTTTCACTCTCATCCTTAAGTTTATAAGGATGGTATAGGGCACATATAGACTCCCCAGGAGCTCAGGGTCATGTGGCCCATGTTTCCCCTGTGCCAATGGTAGCTTTAGGGAGCAAACAGTTCTCTGTTGTGCGTTACCACTTCTCATTGAGGGATGTGAGATGCCAGCATCACTTTTCCCTCATCTACTAATTGCTAGTAGTACCCACAGTCACTATGATAACCCTGAAATTCTCCACATGTTTCCAGATTCTCCAAACAGAGGTAAAACACCCCTGGCTGGAATCCACTTTGATGACCCAGTTTTACACATGAAAAAATAGGTCCAGATGGGGTGGGGTGGGATGGGGGGGTGAGATGGCTAAAGATGCAGCTAGTTAATGGTATAGCTTTGGCAACCAGGTCTCCTGATTTTTAGCTCACTTCTTTGTCCCATGCTCTGGTGCCAGCACACCTGTGAAGACTCAGACATCTTGGTTCTTCTGGCACTGCCTTAGGGATGCCCACCACATTTTGTGTGTGTCCTCATTTACTGAATTTTCCCTATTAGAGTAAGCTTTCCTCCTTCTGTAGCTTATAGAGTGTTGGATCCAGTACTGCCAGTCTCTGGAGATCCCAATTGATCCTTCCTTCAGTCTCATTAATATTCTTGGAGATCCCTACGAAATACGGCAGTGGAATGCTGATGGGCTGCCCCGGGACTTGATATCAACAGAAAATGGAATTTTGGTTACTCAAGGGAGACGGTGGCCTTTGATGATTGACCCTCAAGATCAGGTGTGTAACAAATGCTTAAGAGAGTGGCCCATTAGCACTGCTGAATATCAAGCTATTAAAAATCATAAAAGTGAACGTATTTATAAGATCATGGAAAGTTAGACTATAGAGTTTAAAAGCTTCCTACTCCAAGCCCCCCATTTTGTGGATGCCAGAAGTAAGACAGGGAGAGTCTAAGTGCTTTCTTACTTGATTTTGATTGGTTTTGTTTAAGGGATTGACCAATAGTATTCTGGTTTCTGTGAGGGCAGAAATTCCCAGAAATTCATTCTTCTGTAGACCTTAATCCTAAAAGGTCTGAGGAGTCAGAATGATGTCAAGGTATGACAGAATTTTGGGCAAGCCTGCCTGGAATTTACAGAATCCCATTATCTGAGTGCCTCCATCTGTGGATCAGATTGGACTAAATAGGAATTGCAAAGGGAGCCATGAGGAAGCAAGGCAGACACACTTGAGTACTGTACACGTGGGTTCTTTTCTTCATTGTTCTAGGTTTGAGTAAAGGGAGGAGTTATAAACAGTGAGCTTCAAAGGTGTCTTTATTGGGGGAGGGGGATTTTGTTTTATTTTATTTTTATATTTCAAATCTGTTTCTAGATAAAATTTCTAAACCTTATTCTAAAGCATTCACTTTCTAGCCATTTATTATACTCAAATGCAAATGTCCTGCTTTGTGCTTTCTCATACAGGCCAACCGTTGGATAAGGAATAAGGAAAGCAGAAATGGTTTAAAGATCATTAAGCTTACAGATAGTAATTTCTTACGAGTACTTGAAAATTCAATCCGACTTGGGTTACCTGTCTTACTGGAAGAGGTTTGCTTTCCACTTTATTTTCTCATGTTAGTTCCCAACTTTCAGATCATCTGTGGAATTCTATATGGACAGCATTGGCTTCATGCTATAGACACCAGGCAACTCTATTGTCAAATTGGTTGAACCAGTTCTTTGCTCCTTAAACAATACATTATCTATCATATGTGAGGAGCAGAGGGGTAGGGAGTAATCTGTGGACTTTCAGACATTGTTTTGGTGTCAGGAAGGATAGCCTCTGTTTTCTGACACTGCCAATTAGCAGACCTCACTCTAGCCCGGTGGTTATCAACCTTCCTAATGCCACAACCCTTTAATACAGTTCCTCATGTTGTGGTGACCCCCGACCATAAAATTATTTCCATTGCTACTTCATAATTATAATTTTGCTACTGTTATGAATTGTGATGTGACTATCTGATATGCAGGGTATATTTAGGGTACCCCTGTGAAAGGGTCATTTGACCCCCAAAGGGGTCGTGACCCATATGTTGAGAACTGCTGAGTCTAGCCCTTGATGGTCAGGTGCCCTGAAAATTCAAACTGTCCATAGACACTAAGGATGTGAAGCCAGTAAAATTTTCCAGTGGGTATAAATGTTATGTTTTACTTGGACATAGGTCAGAATTAGATTAAGTGATGACTGATAAGAATGAACTTGGGTTTTGTTGAGTCTAAATGCTCCCTTTGCATATTACTCCACGAATGGATGCTTTAGATGGAAGTGTCTTGGATTGTGTGTGAAAACACCACACTGTACCCCCAAAGTGCATCAATGTACACAGTTACCATTCAATAAAAAAAAAAAATTGAAAGGCTGGTTCAGAGCCTGTGGCTCAAGTGGCGAAGGCGCCAGCCACATACACCTAAGGTGGCGAAAAAAAAAAAAAAAGAAAAGAAATTATCCACTCATTCAACAAACATTATCTGTAAGCCAGTGGCACACAATATAGATTTGGTTTCTGTCCTCAAATGGCTTACAGCTGAGTTGGGGACAGAGACAGTATACAGAGAAAGAAAAAATGAAAGAGAAGATGAAGAAAAGAGCTTGTGATAGGGGCTTTAAAGGAGCAAGTAGGTGGCTCAGATGGCCAACAAGGGGAGGGATAGGACCCTGACCAAATTAGATGTGTGACTGAGGGAGTAACATTAAAGCTATGATCTAGGTAATGAGTTCAACCCTGTGACAGGCTCACCAAGAAGGGCTTCCCAGGTAAGGAGAACAGCACATGCAAAAGCCATGGATACAAAAGAGATGGGTCAATGATCATGGTTTATTTCCCAATAAGAGAAGACTGAGTGAGCCGAAGTGTGGACCTTGAGCTCAATCTCAGTCTAACCATGCCTAGCAGTGCCTCTGCTTCAGCAGAAAAACAGAAAGCTCAGAAAAGACCATTGTCCTGGGGCAGCTCAGCTACAGCATCTGCAGGGTGACTAGAAATAATAATTCCTCTGTCAGTGTTAGCTAACATTTACCTGCCAGACTGTGTTCTCAATATTTTATGTATGTTCACTTATTAATCCTCTCTGCAACCTTACAAGGTAGTTACTATAATTATCTCATTTTGTCAATAAGGAAACTGAGCTATAGAAAGGTTATATAAACTGAATATCCTTGCCTGCCTGAATAATCTCCAGCAAGTTGCTGTACTCCTCACTAGAACCACGAAGAGCACAAGAAGGCTCCATGTGGCCAAACTTTGGCCTTGATCAACACTGGGATATTTCTGTAATGGATGCTAGGCCCTCACATCTTGAAGTCATAGGAGAGGATGAGGCATCTGGAAATCTTTGGCACAGTTATTTTTACTCCAAACTGGATTCCTGACCCCAGGTTTACTGCATGACACAGGAAGCCCTGAAGAATTCCTGTTTCATAGCAGTGGACAAAGAACTATACGTGATAGTCTGCTCCTGGACAGAAGAGCTTTTTCACTGTAGCATAAGACTCATGGAAGTGGAGGTGGGCCTTTGTCAGGGCCACAGCCAGGAACAGGACAATCTGACTGGTCCTTCCCTGCTCTCTATAACTTGGGGTCATTAGGATTATGCACCTTGCCGCTTTTTACATTTACTAGGGCATTTTCAAACTTCATCTTCCAACATAGTCTATCTCAATCAGAATTTTTTAATGAAACAGCATTTTTAAAATCACAAAATTATATCACGGATAAGGGTAAAACTTATCTTACAAACTTTTGTTTTAAGAATTTACATGTGTGGGTAGCAACAATGTGAAATCGATTTCTTTACTGTGGATTACAATCAAATTCTGAAGGCCCCTGGGCCACAGGACCCTATTATGCACATGCTAACATACAGATGTTCCTGATGGGGTCCCTTGACAACGTCTGCATGCCCAAGTGCTTGTCAGATTTGCTTTGAGAGGAAAAAAACATAATGAGGATGTAGAATAGGGGTTCACAAAATTTTCTATATAGAGCCAGATAGTAAATATTTTAGTTTTTGCAGATTTCATTCATTCTCTGTGCATATTCTTCTTTGCTTTGTTTTGGTTGGGAGGTGGTTATTAATGTTTTTACCACCCTTTATAAAGACAAAAATAATTCTTAGAGTCATACAAAAACAGGTAGCAGGTAGCCAAATCCAGTGCCAACCCTTGACTTTTTTCTTAAAAACAACCATGAAAATGAACAGATCTTCATTTGAATGGGGCCTGTTGAATGCCACCCTGCAGTGGCTTAATCCACCCAGCCTCTCTTCTTAGCTTACATGGGGATGAATAAAGTGTAAGATTGTTCTAAGTAGATGTATTGTCATCATGTGCTCTTATTTTCTTAGATTATTAACAAAATAACCACTGGACAATATGAACTGTTAGATGTAGTGTGAGGATGCTAATGATATCTATAAGATCACTGAAAAAGTTTATTCATTCACAGTAAATTTTGAGGACTAAAGAATGTTGAGAAATTGGTGTCATCCATTTTAATTGCTTGGTTTTTGTCTTGATTTGTTTTACTTATTAAGCTCAGGGAAACCTTGGATCCAGCTCTAGAACCCATTCTTTTGAAACAAACTTTCATCAGTGGTGGTCGACTACTCATTCGCCTGGGAGACTCAGACATTGATTATGACAGAAGTTTCAAGTTCTATATGACAACCAAAATGCCAAATCCTCACTATCTGCCTGAGGTATGAGCTACAGGTCGGGAGTTCTCAGCCTGTGTGGATTATTGAGGTGTGATGATTCTCTGGAGTTTGGTGGGTTCCCATGTGGAAAGAACAGCTATTTCTCCCTCTTCCCTTCCACTCCTCCCTTCATTCTACCATCCTCTACTTCTGCTTCTCTTCTGATTCATCTTCTTTCTCCTGGCTTTCTAGTTAGGACCTAATCCCTTGCCCACTCGGGCCTCAGGCCATGCCATGTCTCACACCACCCTGCACCTCTTCTCCTATTCACAGCCATAGCACACAAACTCAGGCTGCCACTCCCTCCCCCCACTCTTCTCTCTCCTTCAGCAAGGACTGTTTTAGCCCCTGTTATCATGGATGATGAGTCCAAGCTTAACTGAGAGTTCATGGGGAGGATCAACTATACAAATACCCATAGCATATACTCCCCCAAATGAAGAGGTTACCCACTTGAAAACTCTGGTGACAGGGCAACATTAGAGTATCATGATCCAAATATCCAGTGTCTGTCTATATACTTAAGAGTTCTGAGTAGTGGGGGCATTTGTCTTCTTCCTCCTGCTTTTAGACTCTTTGTAGGCACCTGTGAAAGCTGCACTCCAAACATACGTCCTTCAGCCAGAAGAACCCCCACTCTAGTGGTACAGATCCCAAGACAGTTGCAACAGAAATGCAGACAGCCAGGACTCCATTCCCCCTCTTATGTGGGGCACTCCCTGGCTGCTCACCCCTACATGCCCAGGGGCTGCCCCAGCTTCAGGCATATCTGAGTGCTCTGCAGGCACCTAGGGAAGAAATTGATTTCACACCAGAATCTCACACCTTCACTACAACCACCCAAAAAAAAGTCTTTGGCTATACCACTCCAAAGAGTATCACTTTCATTTAAGTTGCTGAATTTCTCATAGTTATCTGTTTTCCCTAGATGTATTCATTTTTTACTAGATGTGTTCACGGTGAATGGAAATTGACACATTTTTAAAAGAACTTCCTTGTCAGCTGGGAGGAGCTTATTTTCACAGCACCATGAGGGTTCCCATTTCAGAGTTTAGGAAGTGACCAACGTGTCAACTTGCAATCTTTGCTTTCTCAGTTACGTAACTTTTGAGAGGGAGCATTGCACACAAGACCCAACCCCAGCTTTGTGACTATGGGGAAAGTATTCCATCTCCAGGATCCCCAAGTCAATCAACTCTAATGTGGAGACAAAGCCTACTTCAAGGGTTTATAACGTGTGTACAGTATATGGCACTCAAACACTCCTAGTGCTCACTTTGGCAGCACATACACTAAAATTGGAGCAATGCAGAGATTAGCATAGCCCCTGCTCAAGGATGACACGCAAAATCATGAAGAGTCCACATTTTTTCAAGTGCGCACATCAAAGTAAATCTCAATGAAAATCAAGCTGTGGGGGAGAAATGCATAAATTCACACCTATTGGGTACAGTGCACACTGTCTAGGAGAAGGGCACACTTACATGTATAACTTTGATTCACCCTGTACAAAAACAAAGTATATAAACAAAACACGTGTATCCCCTAATATTCTGAATTTTTTTATTTAAAAAATAGAAACAGTTCATTATATTTGTTAGGTTTTTTATTAATTTATTCAAGTGATGTCAAAATATTATGATATAACAACTTTCATAAAAATTTTATGAAGAAACAAAATATATAAAGCTCTATTTATTATCAATAATAGCTTCTTTTTTTTTTTGTCATCCTCAGTACAGTGCTGTGGCATCACAGCTCACAGCAACCTCCAACTCCTGGGCTTAGGAGATCCTCTTGCCTCAGCCTCCCAAGTAGCTGGGACTACAGGCACCCACCACAAAGCCTGGCTATTTGTTGCAGTTTGGCCGGGGCCGGATTTGAACCCACCACCTTTGGTATATGTGGCCAGTGCCCTACCCACTGAACCACAGGTGCCACCCCAATAATAGCTTCTTTTTAACAAGGACACACTATTATAAGTCACTACAATTAAATGATCTTATTATCTAATTTAGTGCTCACACCTTCCCTAGGAGTGTTATTATCATTATCCCAATTTTTTAAATATCAGGATGCAGGAAAGGCTTATCTAAACTCAAATATAAACTAAAGGGGACAGCTGGATTTGAACTGAAGCTGTTGATTCTAAAATACTGCTTCTTTGAAATACCATGTAGAATAATGTAACTGTGATGTTTAAGGAACAAGATTGCCACTCATACTGTCAGGAAAAATCATATTAAGATTTGGTAAGGCACATTATGCTTGATGTGTGGTGGGGGGTGGGGTGCCCACATGAAATTACACCTGAGATACATCCACCTGGGAAACAATGAGCCATGTTCTAGTAAAGAAAGCCCTTCTTATTATATCAGTCTGCACTGAAGCATTTTTATGTTTTCTGTGCTTCTTTTCCAGGTATGCATTAAAGTTACCATCATCAATTTCACTGTGACTAAATCAGGTCTGGAGGACCAGTTGTTAAGGTAAAAGACAGAGAGATGATAAGAGGGAAAGCCCATAAGTTCCTAATATTTTATTTGGAAATTTTAATTTTTTTAAAGAAAAATTTTTAATGTGTAAAAGCCCCACACTTCAAACCTCAATCAAACAGATATGAATAAACAGTCAAGTTCTTTACCATTTCCAGTTGCTCACAGCCCCTACTCTTGCTTGTAGTCGTCTTACAAGGAAATCAGGGTCCATTAGTCCCCACCCAATGTCTGGGCCTGGCTGACAGCCCAGCCCAGCCTTTTCCCTGAACTAGAATTTCCAGTCTTGGGCAAGTCAGTCGTTCAGTTTCTAGAAACTCATTGTTCTGTGCTTTTAAAAAAAACAGCTACCCTGGCTCAGCGCCTGTGGCTCAAGTGGCTAAGGTGCCAGCCATATACACCTAAGGTGGCAGGTTCAAATCCAGCCCGGGATCACCAAACAACAATGATGGCTGCAACCAAAAAATAGCCAGACATTGTAGTGGGCACCTGTGGTCCCAGCTACTTGGGAGGCTGAGGCAGGAGACTCACTTGAGCCCAGGAGTTAGAGGTTGCTGTGAGCTGTGATGCCATCGCACTCTACCCAGGGGGACAGCTTGAGGCTCTGTCTCAAAAATAAAAAACAAAAAAATTAAAAAAACCAGCTACCCCAAATACATTCATTCCTGTTCCCTGGCCTCTAGACGTTTTCTTAGCATATTTAACTGTGCCTACATTTATCCACTTTAAAAAGATAAATATCCTCCTTCAATATACTCTCTATGTGATTAAATCCCCATTTCTCAAAATGAGATTATGAAATGTTAGTATTAATCATCTGAATTAACCAAGAGGTTCAGTAGGCAAAATTTTCAAAATATTTATTAAAATAATAACATAGATGTAGACTAAAAGATATTCAATATAATATTAAATATATATTTTATATAAATATATAAAATATAAATATTTATCTAAAATATAAATAATTAGGGCTATCCAGAAAATACCCAGCCATGTACTAGGCAAAACAATAGGTATGCATGTGTATTTATTGACTTCGAAGGAAAATATAATCCAGACCTATGTTTAAAAGAAATATTATTTATGTTCAAGTCAAGATCATCCTGACTTACTCTTGTTATCATTAATGACCTTAAGTCTCACTCTCTTGTTTCTATTTTTTTTTTTTACAAATACATGTGTTTACTAGGCTTCCACTTTTTGCCTTCACAAAATCAAAAAGGCTTAAAATTTAACAACAATAACAATGTTTAAGATAAGGACTAGAAACAAAAACCTCATAATGAATGAAGATAAATACATTCAGAAAAGAAATCAGATGATTGCTGCAATGAAGTATTAAGCAATAATAATAATAGTAATGCAAAGAAAGTAACATTCACATTGTCAAATAAGAGTATGTCCATTATAGAATGCTTTGACTCTGAGGTTCAGTATGGAGTCATCAATTAACTTATTATTTTTTCCCAGTCTCAAAAAATAGACAATATTTATATATAAAAATAAAAGATAATTTAAAAAAACAGATCATGCCAAGTCTTATAGACAATAGAAAAAGAAGAAATACTTCAAAATCATTCTGCTTAATCTGGATACACCTGATAATAAAATTGGAAAAAATATATTATTATAAAGGGGAAATTACAAACATAATTCACTTTTAAATGAGGATGCAATATCCTGTATCCTAAACAACATATTGAAGTTGAACAAGTTGAAGTAAAAATTAATGTTTAAGTAATGTACTTTAGTCAAAATCGAATCCAATTTATGTGAGAATTAGTCACTATTTTTTTTTCTTGTCCTTACCCTCAGCCCCCTCCCTCCTTCTCACTCTTTTGTTTCTTTTAGTAATTATTCCACCAGCTGCCAACCTGCTTAACTTCTGTTAGGTTAACTTCTTTCAAATTAAAGAGTGTCTCACCACATTTTGTGGACATGTTCTCAGGAGTATTTTGCATACTAGTTTATTCCTATGCATAGTTAGTTTAGCTGTGTCACTAAGCTGTCAGCAGGTTAGGCTGCCAGGAACAAGAAGGAGAATTCCCTGATAAAAGCAGGGAAATGCTGAGATTCAGCCGCAGGGTGAGGAATCCCCCTGCTATTTCTCCTAGACTGATGACATTGGAAAGGGAATAGAGTGAGGATGGAGTTCAGTCTGCTCGGGTTCTGAGCAGAACTCCTATTCAGTTGTCCTCTGCTCTGCAGAGCTTCTACACAGATAACAATGATTATTGCATTCAAGTACTTGTCATGATTTCCTCCAGATCCTCATGATCTTAAGCACCACAGTTCACCTCCCTGCCTCCCTCACTATTCAGTTGTCCTCTGCTCTGCAGAGCTTCTACACAGATAACAATGATTATTGCATTCAAGTACTCACCATGATTTCCTCCAGATCCTCATGATCTTGAGCACCACAGTTCACCTCCCTGCCTTCTGGAGACTGTCAGCCACAATGCTTCAGTCCCTCTGGGGGAGACGAGTCCCTTTTTTAGGTTCAAGGAATTCCATTCAACCAACCCAACAGCCCATCTCCTTCTGTCTTTTTTTCTTCTTCCAGAAATTTTAACTCATCCTTGCAGACTTTCTTGGCAGCCCCTTTGGATTCCTAACTGCCTAATTTAATTCATGCTTCTCTCATGCTGTTTCCTGAACTATATCTTAACAGTTCTTTAAACTCTTCTGAAAAATTTTCTTGAACAATTGAATTTGAGGTGATGATTTCTTATATTCTTCATATAATAATCCTAAGGTGTCTAAATTCAGTATGTACATAAAAATAAATGATGAATTCTTACATAAGGCAACATAATAGTTGGTACACTGGCATCAGCAGACCCAGGTGCCCCTCATAGCTGGTCTGTTTGCTCATCTGCAACCTGACAATGATAACAACAGTGCCCACCTCACCAGAGCATACAAAGGATTAAAAGACGTAATCTATGTAAGACTAGCTCCTGCAAACAGACGCTGGGAACAAATTGTGAAAGAAGACGTGAAAGTGAAAGATGGTGAAAGTTCACGTTTAGACAAAGGTGAACCTTGAGTTAAGGTCCATTTTTCAAATGCAACTAAGAATTGGTTTATGGAGATACTAGGATTTCAGAATCTCTCATGTTGGTACAAAAATCATATTTCAGGCACCATTTTCAGCTTGATGAGCATAATAGACAGAAATTGGATGATTAGAGAGATCAGGCCCTAAGCAGGTTTTCCTAAGTGATGAGCAGAAGGTTTGGGCACTGTGGTAGGGTAACACAAGATAGAGAATCAGAACTGACATGTGGTTCAGTGTAAAGCCAAGGTGTAAACCCGGCAAAAGAGACACTGTGTTTGGATTTGGCTAGTAGTATTAATACTCAACTAACGAGTATTCAGAGTAAGAACAACTACAAACAACAAAAGAAAAATAGAATCAACAGTAGGGCACTGACAAATAATTTAGGTGTTTCAACTTTTGTTCTAGTGATGTGGTACGACTTGAAAAACCTGAATTGGAAGAACAAAGAGTCAAGCTCATTGTGAGGATCAACACTGATAAAAACCAGCTGAAAAATATTGAAGACAAAATCCTGAAAATGCTCTTTACATCTGAAGGGAATATTCTGGACAATGAAGAACTTATTGACACACTCCAGGATTCAAAGGCAAATAAGATATTTTAAGTAATTATAGAAGGAGTGTTACTTCAAAAATTAGAGTTACAGCCTTTGCAGGTGCTGCAACGGCTTTTAAAGCAAGAATGGGGGAATATTTTAGGCTTCCACATGTTGGGTTTCAAGGTAGCTTCCTGCATCCTAAAATGTCAGGGTTTCAGGCAGCTGCCCTCAGTTCTTAGAGCACTCTTGGTTGAAAATGACCAGACACCCAAAGTAAGGCAAGTGTGAAACAAAAGTTATTGAGAAACAGAAAGATAGGTTTATAGAGTAAGAAAGTTTACAAAGCAAAATGCATTCACAGCAGACAGCAAGCAGGCCTCCACTCTCACAGCAAGTAGGCAGAGGGCTGGGTTATGGCCAGCACTACTATTTTATACTGTCTGGGTTGGGCCTACCTCATGGTTCAGAGGTCACCTTGGAACCAGAGTCTAACTACGCATACAGACCTCTGATGAGCCTCTGAGAGCCCATTGGTGCAGTGTGGGCCACGTATAGATTTAAACTAATGATATGATAATTAGTCTTAAGGCTGTTGTAGGTCACCTTTAGTACTCTATTGCACCTGTTGCTAGGCCCAGGAGCTAGAGAGTTCTACATCCTTCTGCCGTTGGCTGGCTAAGTCTAATTGGTAGATTGATAGGAAATACCCTCCTCCCAGGTGCGAGCAATCAGTTGGGACAGAATGAAAGTGGGTAGTACCTGGATGGAGACCTGGGGCCCCTGCCCTTGTCTTTCTTCCCCAAGAAATCTCCCTGTGTTTCCAACTGGAATTAATCTCTTCTTCCTTCTATAGCTCTTTATCTGAATCTCTGTTCTAGCACTTGTCACTGTTTATCTTATGTCATAGTTATCCATTTATATGTCTTATCTCTTGTTAGGTTGTTAAGTTCTGTGCAGTAGGAATCTATAAATAATTCATTTTGAGATTCCTTCTCCAAGGGTTAAGCATGGTGGTTACACAGTTGGTGTTCAATAAAATGTATTGATAGTAAGATAAATTTATAATTCATCAGTAAATTATTTCTCAGAGTCAAACAATCATGAAGGGTATACTAGAAACATCCCTAACAAAATGGTTTTCATCCATTTGTGAGAGACAGAAAATAATTTCCTAAAAAATCCGTTTGATTTTATTAGGCAAGGAGCGCATAAGGTTATACTATTTGCCTTTGTTTACATTAAAAATGGTTTCCAAGGGTTTTATGTCCTACATTCCCTTGTGATCACTGTAATGAGGCAATAATAAATTAGTAATTCTGGGTCCCCCATTTCTTTTCCCTCTCATTTTTGCTTGTTTGTTCACAGATCTCTTTCACCTCCTTTCATTCATTTTTCTTTGGGTTTTTCATTCCTGGCAGTTGGTTGTTAACCCATTTAACCCATTTGCTTTTAAGTTTTAGCAGTGTTTTACATGCAAACTGTTTAAAGAATGACATATTTCTATGAAGCTTGTAAGAAATAGCATTTCTTGCTTTCTACCACAACAACCACCCATGGCTCCTTTCATAGAGGCAACTGCACTCATTTCACATCTTAACTGTGTCCTTAACTCTGACACACGTATATACACATCCCTTCCTAGCCTTTGGCCTCCCACTATAATTTTATCCTGGTCATAGCCAGACATTCAAGTTGACATTACCTAAGAGTAGAGATCTGGCTGCAAGTATTTAGGGGCTGAGAAGAAGGAGGGTAGGTCCTCAGCATCCACCCAATCACTGTTTCAGTATGGAACCTGGCTCTTGACTTCTTTCTTTCCATCAAAAAACCACTCTTTCTCCAATAGGAAACATCTATCATTCTGCAGAATGGGAAAGAACAGTCCCCTGAGAGGGGGTGATGTGGGGCATATAACCTGGGGGTCTTACAGCCAGTTCTTTTGTTAGGTCTTTCCCACTCCCAGCAGTGTTTGTTGAGACTAATTCCTAACCCTTTAAGAAGGACTCTATTTTATAAACTGGGGAAGTTCTTGGGTTTCCTCTTTTGCCAGCTTAAAAATTTATTTTGGTAGCTCTGCCATGCCATTACTACCTTTTTGTCTGCTTTCCAGCTCCCAGAACTTGTTGATATTTTCTCTCCTATTTCTGCCATGTTTGTGGGTTTACCGTGTTTTTAAACCCCTTTCCTGTTATTTTATTGTAGTTTCAATAGGGAGTAAAGGTAGATACACATGTGATGACTGCCATCTTTATCTGCAAGTTGGTTTCTTTATTTGTTTGCAAGGTATTGTCTTGGAGACATTTTTTCTCCAGAGAAGAGAGAGAACCGATGACTCTTAGTGACATTTCCTGCTACCTCTTGCCTATATTATATACTCCTCTCAACTTCTGGTACACTTACTGAAAAATGTGTCTCATATTCTCTAACTACCACTGAAGCCCCAAGTGTCTATGGCATAATGTCTATAAGTGGTCGCCAAACTCAACTGAGGTGTATTCTCTGGCAAAAAGAAGAAAGTCATCTGCTTTCCTTTCTCTTTAGTTCTGGGTTCTTACATTATCAGTGCCTTATGCACCATAAGGAATAAAGAATTCTTTGCCAGTGGGTCTCTGTGAGTGGTTCTCATACCAACTTCCTTTTTTTTACTCACATGCAAAATCTTTAGTTGAGTCCAGAATTGAGGTTGTGTTTTCCCACTTAACTCTACCCTGTATTCCATCCCACCCCCACCCCAGGTTCCTAAGTAGTCACTACAGGGAGAGTTTGAAACTTCTGACTCCTAAACACAGCCTCTGCACTGAATCCCTCCCCTCCCTTTCCTGGTGGGTTGCAGTAGACTGTCTAGACTCAGACTCTTCAATATGGTAGGTAGCCACTAGACATATGTGACTATTGAACATTTGGAACATGGCTACACTGAATTAAGATGTGTTGTTAGTGTAAAATACACATCACATTTCAAAGGCTTAATCT